AAAGTTTTATGGTGATCAACCAATGGGTCTCAGGGCCTGAATGGTGAGGTGGTGAGGAAGCCTGTGGAAAAATGTCTCACTCTTGTTGATTGACAAGGGGTGGGACCATGCACCAGGCCAGGCACATAATTGTGGGTTGAGAATAAGGGGGAGATATCAATCCATAGACAATGATTAAAATCCGGAGCATAAATAATGGAAATGGACCAAAGGGAAAAAGTTGAATAAAAAGAGATAAGGCTTGAAGGCAAAGTGCTGGAGAGTAGTAGGGTCAGGTTGAGGTGATAGAGAAACTCAGGAGGTCACTGGACAGTGGCACAGAGAGAGGAAATCCTGCAGAGAATAAAGTCCCTGAATGCAAGGAAGTGACAGTTCTGGGAAAGATGGGGATGGTTTTATATGCTGCAAAATGGTCAAGAAGTGTGTAGCAGTCCTCAAAAGAGCTGGGCTTGAGGCTTGGTGACAAGCAGCCCTGTGACACAGAAATCTTACAGAGGCCACTTTTAGTGTCATAAGAGTAAAGGAGAAACTACCAGCAAAGGGTGACAGCAGAAATCAAACTGGGCAATCTTACTTAGTGTGGCTTTTCTGCCCATCAAGGGAAGCTCTAAATGGGGATTATTAACCTTGTATACTTCCATATTTATTGCTCTGCAGCTCTACTGCAATTACCTTTAATAATGCAAAAATAGCTTCTTCATGTTCCCATCAGGCTCCAAGTACCATTTCTCGCCATGCCATCTGCCACCTGACTGCACGGTCTGTGGATATAATGGTTTGTAAGACCATGCAGTGTGATTGGGATTTGCTGTCTTTGTAAAGATTTCTTGTTTCTCATTTTGCCACATTAAATCTGGAAGTGGAGGGGAGAAAAGCACCTACACTAAACTGATGATATGACATCCAGAAACTAATCTGTATGCACTCTGTGATTTTCAACAGGATATGCTTTAGGCTTCCTGGTTTTGATGCTGTCAGCATCCCATCCACAACCCCTTGACACTTGCTCTTTCTGTACCATTATTGGCTTTCTACCTCAAGCACTTGACACTCTGCCAGGGAGCTTGTTCTGCATAAGAGCTTCTGAGTCTATGTGAGGCAGGCCAGAAATGCAGGGGGTGTTCATGTCTACCCACTGAGAGCAGCCCTCAAAGAATAACTAATGGAGGCGGTGATACGCCACTGCTCCTTGCCCCTGGGCTGGGGCAATGCTGAGGCAGGTTAAGCTCCAGATGGCCACACCCTTATAACTCCTTTACAGGTGGCTTCTGAGATCACTACCGAATTAAGTACTGACATTAGAATTCTCATCTCAGGGTCCACACACAGGGATGAGCAACCTAATCACGAACCACCTTTAAACTCAAAAGTCTCAAATGTACTTGAGCTGGTAAAATCAGGACCCAAGGGTCGAACTAGGACCATGCCAGGTGTAGTAGGAATGAATTGCTTAGGCCCAAAAACCATGTATAAAAAAGGGACTTTTTTTCTACTTCAAAGCTTAACTTCTATCTCGTGCCTCATTTTATTAAGTAACAAAAGCTCCATCTTACCCAGTCCTGAATAACCAGTCCTCTCCTACCCCTGCTTGTCTCTCTGGGGTTGTGTTGAAGTTCAGGAAGCCTACGTGGCAACAGTTATCAGGAGCAGGAGGTGAAGACCTGGCTGCTGAGGCACCGTGATGCCCTGGCCAGCGTTGCCTCCGACAGTGTCTGCATTATGCCGACTGCGCCATCTGGACTTCCGCGCTCCTGTCACACAGGCTCAGCTCTGTCAGCCTTCCTTCCTTTAGGGCCTCTTTGCACTCAGCTGTCAGTTACTTCCTTTTGTCCTCAGCCACACAGAGAAGTAACTGGCCTTTATCAGGACCACGGGGTGCTTGGCGCCGCACGAGCTCATCTATCTGAACACCATCTGAACCCTTTTAAATTCTGCTTATATCATATCGTGCCAACGGAGTCAGGAGAACTCTGGACCTTGCTGCCTTCTCAGACGGAGCAGAGCCCAGTCAAGGCAACTCTGCCTTGGTGTCTTTCTTGACCTCTCCTCCAGGGCACCAGCAAGTTCTCCACTGGCTTCCGGGCAGAACGGGCTAATGCCCCTTTACCCCTGGACAACCCTACAGCACTGACAGGTGGGCATTGGGGATAAATGCCCCAGCTTGTTGAAGGCTCCTGGTGGGATGACTGAATTGTGTCCTTCTCATGCTGAGGCGTGTTCTGCCCCAGCAGGATGGACCCATGTGCGCACGGCCACAGCACACTGACACCTGCCTTACTGGCATTTTCTCCTTCCCCTCTGTGATTCCCAATCCTCCCACTCCAGATTTCTGGGGCCACTTCTCAAATCAGTACCTGCACCTGTACCCTGGCTTCAGGGTTGCTGTGGGACCTCCCAACCTGAGGCACAGCGTCTTCCAATTTGAATCTTGTAAAGGCATGTAGCCATGCCCTCTCCCTGTTTGCTGTACAGAATGTGAATTCCGGTCTATAACTGTGAGGGTGATACTATAGAGGCGGAACTGCAGGATTAAACCATGTGTCCACTTCAGCAAAATATTGCCCATGAGGACAGCAAAACCACACACCACAACACCTGAAGGAGCTTGTTTGGGGTTGTAAGGTAGCTCCCTGAGCTGGAAGGTGCAGAGGAGGAGGTGGGTGGTGGGGACCTAGGAGGCAGTGAGAGTCCAGTTGGTCAATAACCCAGGAGAGGTCCTGGAATTGGCGCATGTGGGTAGGGGTGTGTGTGTGTGTGTGTGTGTGCACGTGCGTAGGGGCATTGCACAGCAGAAACAGCAGGGGACATTTCAGACACAGAGCTAAGTCAGAACACAGTGAGCGGAAATGTGAGGTACTCCAGGTCAGAAGCCTGTTTGGTCAGCCTCAGTGAGTGAGCTCGCCGCAAAGACCTAGGGTAACTGTGGAAGTTCTGAGGGCCAACAGCTTCCTGTTTCTTGTAATCCAAAGTTAGGAGGCAGGCAGGGGATGGGGAAGAATGGCATGCCTGGAGCACCACCTTCCCTGGTCCATGAGAGACCACCGGCTCCTGGGCCTGCCCTCCTCCCGTGATGTTGCTTGGTTGGCCCTGAAGGCAGCATTTCCTGCCTGGGGGCTGGTGTGGGGGCAATGGCAGGCCCCCTACCATTGGAAAGCATTGGCGCCCTTGACCCCCCCAGGGGCTTGCTTCCATTTCCACCCAAGTCACAAGGCCAGTAACTCACTATGAAGTCAGCGGAGCAGAGCAAATATTTGCCTAAAGATTAGCAGGGGAAGCCTTCTGGATTTCTAACATGTAGTCCTGACAAGTTCCAGGCTTTTAAATACCTCAGGCCAGAGAAGGGGGAGCACCTGTGTATGAGTGTGTGTGTGTGTGTGTGTGTGTGTATGAGTGTGTGACTGTGGATGTGTGTGGATGTGAGAGAGTAAGTGTGCACAGGTGTTGAGTGTGTGAATGTGTGTGAAAGTGAGTACACACGTGTGTGTATGTGAGTGTGTGGTTTGTGCACTTGTGAGTGTGTGGGTGAGTGTGAATGAGTGTATGAGTGAGTGTGTGTGAGTGAGCATGTGTGACCGTGTGTGTGTGAGCATGTGTATGACTGTGTGAGTGTATGTTAGTATGTGGGTGTCAATGTGTGAGTTTGAGTGTGTGGTATGTGAGAGTATGGATATATGAGTGTGTGAATGGGTGTGTGAGTGTGCACATGACTGTATGACTGTGCCAGTATAAGTGTGTGTGGCTGTGTGAGTGTGTGTGTGACCTGTGAGTGTGAGCATGTGTGTGTGTGAGTGTATGGTGAGGGCAGGCATCTCTCACGCAGACCCCACTGTCCTGGAAGAGGTCCTTCCTCCCCTGCCTGGTCACCAACACCAGGAAGAGTCACACAGGCAGTGCCTCTGATCACTGAAATGGTGGCTTTGTTAGAAGCCTCATGGCTCCTAAAAACGTGGTGGGAAGCCCAGGGGGCTGCACGAAGACCTGCTGTGCAGAGGAGCTCGGCCTCCCTGTGGGCTGAGCTCATGCTCTGCATTTGGTTTGGTTATATTGTCCCAGGGCCTGTGGCATGTCTAACAGAGAACCTTTACCACAGAGAAGAGCAGTGACCTTCCACTCCTCGGGACACCTGGGAGGACACTGCCAAGTCACCTGCTGTTTTAAAGTTTGAAAATTTGAGTGAATTATGGATATGTTTCATGTAGTATAATATGATATTTCAAATTGCTGGTCATGAAACAGGACCTTCTCTCTTCCAATCAGATCTTCTCTCTGCTAATCAGAAGTTTAAACCTGAAAATCATGGATGATAAATGGGATGGCCTGTGTCTAATGTGTTCTGTTTAACCCATTTCTGTGTTCTCTTGTGGCTTCATGTCCTGGACTTGCATTGCTTTTATTTCCCCAGTGTGAGGATCAAAGTAAGGGACAATGTACTGGACCCAGAACTGGTGACATTTTACTGGTTCTGCTGCTAAGTGACTTGTAAATGTGAATAATTCACTAAAGCTCTTCTGGCTTCCCTTTCTTCCCTCCTGAAAGGTAGGGTGAAGTGTGGGATGGCACAGGCTTTGAATGATGACTTCTAAAATTTTTGTGTGCTTACATTTTATGTTCATTCCATGATTTTAGATATCCTGCTCATGTTTTATAAACATATTCTCATGTTTAAGTAAACCGAATGTATTACTGGAAATGAATCCACAAAACTTTTATGAAGAGTAAGAGATCTCAGACTGGATGACATCATTAGACAAACCTCTCCCAGAGGCTGGTCCTCATGTGAACGATGTGGAGAACCCAAATGTAAGCAGGGAGTCACTGAAAACAATTCAGGAGCTGCTGGAGTACTGAGGAGGGTGCTGCTCTCAGTGGTGCTGGTGGGGCTGGGGTGGCTGCTCTCTGTGGGGCTGGCTACAGGTGTCCATGTTTTAGTAGTTTGGAGAGGAAGTGGGTACAGAGGTGGGAAAATGTTAATTTTCATTTTTTGTTGATTTTAATTTTGATACATTTCAATATACACAAAATACACAAAAGCATCTTTTTTCCCAAACATTTGAAAATAAGTTGAAGACATGATCCTAAAACTTTTCCCTCCAGATACTTTGGGGCATTTGTTCTCTTCCATAACCACTGTAGGATGATAAGAATTGGGAAATCTGACACTGATATTATCTAATCTCCAATCCACATTCACATTTCGCCAGCTGTCCCAGTGATCGGCAGCGTCCTGTATGGCAGCTTTGTTTTTCTGTCCAAGATCCAGTCAGGGATCATGCATGACATTTGCTTATTTTGTCTTGTAGTGTCATTTAGTCCGGAACAATACCTTAACAGTTCCCTCTCTTCCTGACTTTGACATTTTTTGAGGAGTCCTGGCCAGTTATTTAAGACAATGTCTATTGCTTTATGTTTGTCTGATGTTTCCTCAGAATTATGACTCAGGTTATACATTTTCGACAAAATACGACAGAAGGTAACATGTCCCAGTGCATCTGACCAGGAGACACATGAAGTTGGTTTGCCCTATTGCGGGTGAAAATCATTTCTTCATTTGGTTAAGGCATTTATTTTTTAAAATATCCGATCCTTGAGTTAAATATGCCATGTGGGTAAGACTGGCTGGTTGCTCTCCATTCTGACTCCGTCAGAAGAAATACAGCCTCATTGCAACAGCGCCACCTGCTGAAAAAAAGAACAAGTTCTTAGAATTCAAGATTCTGGACATGGCTTGTATATTGACGACTTCCAAAAGCTATTTAAGGTTAAATCTAAACTTTCCAGAGATGGGGTTGGTTAGACAGTAAAGCCTGGGGTGAAGAATTTAAGGACATTTCAGGGGATGACAGAGCAGGAAGGAAAGCTGTGGAACAGCAGGGCTGTGCAGGATCTAGTGTTACCGGAGGTGTTTAACCCCAAGAATTCTTTAGTCTTTACAGATTTGGAAATGGATGCTCCACCTTACCAGGTAACTTCTGACAGCCCACTGGGCAGGTGGGGGTAGACCACACCCAAGACACCCAGCACTCCCCCGCCCAGCTACAACTCCCAGGCCCAGATCTCACAGCTAATTTTCCTTTCATCTTTATAACATAGTTCCTTATAAATCTTAACGTGTTCCAGCATTTGCCTCATTGTTTGTCTGGAAATAATAAGAACTTTTTGCCTCGCTCTATAATTTGAGAGGCTGAAATTCCCCTCACACCGTGTAGAACACTCTGGAATGATCTCTATCATTTTCCAGTCATGCTAGTCACTGACTAAACTGTTTTCTTCAAAGAGATTTTTGATCTTCTCTCTACTAATAATAAATCTGAGCCTGAAAATCATAGACAATAAATGGGACAGCTCAGGTCTAACATGTTCTATTTAACTACCTATTTCTACAATATTCCTTGAAGTATGGAAGGACAGGACATCTGTTGATGACATTCACATTTGAACCAAGTAATTTTCTCTTGTTACTGGCCATTCTTGACTATAAAGAACTTGCAATTGGTCTGAAAATGAGAAAAAATGGTAAGTAGGGGGAGGGCAGGAGATGTTTTTGTTTCTGTAGTTAAGCATTGGAAGAGTTAACAGTGTAATTTGGAGGCCAGAACCAAGAATATCAGGTGTGATTATCTTCATCTTCATTAATTATATCTGGTGTCTAGATGGATGGCAGGGTCAGTTGACTGCTTCGACCACAGCTGGGATTCCAGGCACTGCATTCAACTGTGAACAAACACAAACAGGAGCCCATCACAAGAGAGTGAGCAAGACAAGAAGCTGAGGAAGGATTGGGAACTTGAGATGTGCTGGACTTGGGAAAGAGTTAAGATAAAGGGGACAGGATGACAGTGTGCAACTATGTACAAGTCTGATACAGAGAAAGTTCCAAGCTTAGCTCCTTTCCTCAAATACTAATGAACTGAAGGTTCAGAGAGATAGGTGCTACCTTATTATGAAGAACAAAACAAATTTCAGCAGTTGAAAGTTTACGAGGATGGTTTGGACTGTTCTGGGGAGTACTATGTCAAGAAAAGTGTATGTGACCAGATTATATAATCTTCATGTCCCATTTACACTGAGATCATGTAATTGAAAGATCCTTTAGAATTTCATACTTAGCTAAACCCAATCCATGGTCAAGTTTTTAATTTTTAATTAAAAAAATAAGTAAATAAGAACAAATAGATTATTCTATCCAAACACAAGCCTAGAGTCATGCAAATGACATTTGGTTCATTTTCCCTAAAAATTACGTAACACATGGGAAAAAACATATCTAAACAAAATGAAAATCCCTTAAGGGGAAGTCTTTATAGAAAGAATTTGGCATTGAATAAATGCTATAATTCAAAATACTTAAACTTAATTATTGTGTGATCAAGTTTAATTATTTCTACAAAAATTCTGTATCTTCATAAGTTATTTAATGTTCATAAAACTGGGGTCTCTTAATTTTATTTTATAACATGTAGAAAAATCCATAAGAAGAAAAAAAATGATTCCTATGTTTCTGAGCATTTTTGGGTGCTATTAGGTTGTATCATGTGAAATTGTTATTTGAGCATTTTAATTAAATTTTTTATTTAAAAATACGGATTTATATACGGTTGTGAGAAATAATACAAGAGGAGCCTCCAAACTCTTTACCCAGTTCCTCCCAGTAGTGACATCTTGCAACTACAGAGCATTTTTTTATCTAAAAAATGGCATTGTTATATGGTTCAACCTAATGTATTATAGATGAATGCCAAAAACCACAAGTTTGACTGGATTAGGCTATGTGGATATATCCTAAATTCATAAAGCATTCAAATAACTTTGATGACATTGAAACATGGGCCATTACATTAGTAATGCATGTGAGTTTAGGCTGTGGGAGAGGAGAGGTTTCCAGGGAGATCTCAGCAACAAGAGAGCAGGGCTGGTGGCTGGATTTTACGGAATGCTGCAAAGGGATCAGGGAAAGGAGCATTGGAAAACCGACCTGGTGCCTTTGGCTGAAGACAGAGTGGTGGCACAAAGGCCAAAGAGAGCCAGGGGAGCAGGTAGGCAGAGGTGACCCAAGGAAGTCCCAGGTTAGGGTGGGTTATGTAGTTTGTAGGTTGAGAGGAAGATGCTAACAGAGAGAAAGAAACTACGAAGCAAGAGAGGCTGGAGGGCATGGAGAATCAATAAGAGACTCCCCCAGGAAAGGAGAAAAAAAAGGCTTTTTCCCTCCAAGAATGGAAAGAAAGAAGAAAATGGATAAGATGACTTCAATATTTAAATGTAAATAGAAGGGAGCCCATTGCAAAATTCACTGGTGCAATCCTTTGCCTTTCTCCTACACTGTATCTCATGCAGAATTCTGAAATACAAGAAGAAGGTATCAGGGTCGGTCTTGCTGAAATGGGCATAAGACCCATCTTTAGCCTCACCTGCCTCCAAGTAACCCCAGCTTCACCTTCAAAAGCCTTGAGGTTCCACAGAAGGATTAGAAAGTGAATGGATCTGTGATGAATGCAATGGGTAAAATATTCCAGCCCCTAGTCCTGGTTTTATCAGGCTACAAAATTTTATTCACCATTGCGTTGTTTCGGGAATAAACTGCAAGATTGCAAATGACTTCAGTGATGTGAAAGAGAAGCTGAAAGTTGAAGCATTGCTGTGAGAGGAGCAAATAGAGGGCCTGAACATCATGTTGGCGATGAGTCAAAGTGAGGACGGTCTGGCCCCTGGCAAACGCCCAGGAGGTGTCCATTGGTTATGAGCACATCTTGAGACAAACATATGATGACCCCAGTGCAAATGTACTTTTCACCTGAATTAATCAAGACCTAATATTCAGGTCCAGAAATATGCCCACCCTCCTGTAATGGGCTAGCTGGCTATATCTGAAGCAGTACTCCACGTGTAAGCCAGTATTTGGGAAGGAAAGGGTAAAGTGAAAGAATGTGCAGAGAAGGGTGACAGAACAGGGGCAGCCAGAGCAGATTTGCTGTAAATAGTTGTTCAAGGGAATAAGGGAGAGAGGAAGAATGAGAAGAGAAGAAGGATGTCAGCATAGAAGGAAGGAATGAGCAAAGTACATAAAGTGAGGACATGTGGTGTGATTTAGGGAATGTTTTTTCAGCAATGGAGACAAAGAGGCTTCAAAGGAGAGAAGAATGTGGAGGGCAGGAGAAGAAGACACGGCCTGTGACAACTGCACAACTGAAAATGTCCTCAGAGTGCAGCCCATGATTTGTGGCGGTCAAGGTTTAGAGCATTAACTCCTGCTCTTACTCCAGATGCTTAGGTAAGAATCCCAATACTCCCAACTCCAGCTGTGTATCCCCACCCCAAATTCCCTTGGGTGTTACACACACACGTGAGAGTTGAACATAAATATTTACAAGGCACAATCCTCCGAGAACACAATCCATGTTTTCCAAATGGTATTCCCCAGGACCGACCAACACCTTACCTCCCTCCTTCCCTGCTTCTCTCCTCATTCCTTCCTCATTCCCTCTCTTGTCTCTCCCTTCCTTCTCCCTGTTTTCTTTCCTTATTTTCACATATCCATACTGAGTACCACTACCTTCTGTATACCTCACCTATAGTGTTCAATGAAAATGGGTGTCACCCATGCTCTCCTGGACCTTATGAGTCAGTGGGGAAGACAAACATTGATCAAATAATTGTCACTTTCATAAACAGCACATTGGATTTCCTTTGTTGCTATAGAAGTTGAGCATTTAGTCTCATGTGATAGTGGGCATGGCACTCATAGATAGACCTTTTAACCCAGGTATAAAAAGCAACTTTATTTATATACATCTGAGTATAGTTCTCTAGCCCTATTGCCCAATAAAAGAATTTGATCTATTCATTTTTGGGCTTAAACATCAGCCCAAATCAGGAGCTTCTTGGTCCAATTCAGTAATATAAAGATGGCCCATTCTTGTTCAAAATTCTACTCAAGGATCAGCCCCTTTTTATTCTTCCTTGGGGGGAACCTAAGATTCTGGGAGATTAGGTACAGTATGGCCTCAGAACTGTGGCTGGGGTGGGGCGGGATTTGGGGCCCGGGACAGATACCATTCATTGGCTCCCTCGTGGAGCACCCTGGTTCCACAGCCTCCCCTTCTCTATGTATGCACCCTTTAGATGGGTACCAGTGGTTCTTCTAATTCCCTGAAATTCTCAAATAACTCCCACTTGAACTCATTTATGAATTTTATTGTTCTTTAATTCACAAATTCAGCATATTTCTTTATGAATTCTTCCCTTTTCATTTGGCTATATATATCCTCTAGCTTCTTCAATTACATTTTCATATCATTTAACTGTATTCTTTTGTTTTTTATTAACAAAAAAACACATTTAAGGCTATAAATTTTATTCTGAGTACAATATTTACCACATTGCATCATTGTTTTCCAAAAATTATTATTTCTAAGGAGACAGTAATTGAATTTTTAATTTATTTTTTGATCCTTGCCCTAAGTTGAGTATTTTTCAGTTTCCAAGCAGTTAGATTTTTTTGTTGCCATTTTGTTTGTACCAATGTTTATGTTGCTTGAATTTATAAACATTTATAAAACTTCTACTTTTAGGAATCCATGAAGATTCTTCATGGAAATTTTGTAATTTTATATTTTCATTAATGTTCCACAGATCCTAAAAAAAAGTTTGTACTGGGTTCGATACTGCAATGTATATATCCACCC